GAATTGCAGCTATGGCTATAGTGATAGTTTACAACCAAAACTTCATACCATAATTTGGTGTGGGCCACTCTAACCGGTCTTGAAAAAAAAAAAAAAAAAGATTAATTTAATAAGCGCTTAGATCTCGTTCTCTAAGAATTTAGGTCTTTATTCTATCTTTTTCAATATTAAGGAATCATTTTTTTTCAATCTTGCTCTATCCTATATTTTGGGTTTGTATACTATGAGACTGCTGAGGTCACAATCGTTTTTAGCCATTGGATGTGAAATCCAATAGATGAAAATGCATCACATGAATTTTATTTTAGACTTTGTGCCCAAACAATGATACATCCCCAACCATCTGATTTCAAATCTACCGGTCAACTATTATTATTATTCCTTATATAAAAAATAAATGGTCTCATTGTATACATTTCTTTATATTTTTCAAGCAGAGATAGACTGGTCATCAACTTTATTTGGGTTTCTGCATTGTGATGGCATGTAAATTTCGGCTTTTTATGTTTTTAAAACTTGAATGAAAATGTTTTCCTTAATTTATATAGTACATTATACTTCTATAAGCATATAATTTTTTCCTTTACATGGTTTTGAAAATTAAAGACATTTTCACTATTTGTTGTCTCCCTATGTATTTGCTAAGCTATTTTCTCAAAGGCTAAGGAAGCGATTAAAGGCATAGCTTTTATGTTTTTTATTTTTATATATCTAGGCATTAGTAAGGATTTTTCCCTATTTCTTTCTCACTTTTCCAATGCATATAGGTCGGATTTGATAACTGTGAAAAGTGGAAAAGGTGCACAAATTTCTTGTCTATCCATTGCTTCATGTCGGAACCCCAAGTTTCTACTGTTTTCTTATGGACAGTTGCATCGAATGAGCTTCATATATATGAGCAGTGTTATCTTATAAAAAAAAAGTGTTTATTTAGTGAATGGATTGTGATTCGTTTGTATGAATGCTATTAGTTTATGAAAAAGTTCTTGAAAAAGTGTTTCTTTACTAGAAGGAATGTGGTTTATTATGTACGGATCATTATACTATGATAAAGTACATTGTTTTCATATGGCTGATGGATTTATCTGCAATAATGCATTATGTCTGACCATATAAGAATGGGTTTTGTAAGTATTATGGATGAATCACTAATAGACTGCCATACAAGATTAGAGTATCCAAGAGGTCATGGAGATTGTTTGAAAGAAAGTATTACGACAATATGCAGCAATAGGGATATCTCTGTTTTAGCAGCGGTTAACAGACATGTGCTCCCAATATGTTCTAGTAGGATGTTAAGGTTCTGCAGCACACTCTTGAATTCTATATGATACAATCGAGGGGAACAAGCATCCATTAACATTACCTCAATGTAAAAATGATTGACCTACTATTCATTGTAAATTACATACAACAATGACGCTGATACCTTGGGCTTATTAGGTGTAAGAATGTATTACCTTATAGATGCATGCTACCCCACTACACGTGGAATCATTACCGCAAATCATGATGCAAGTTACCACCTTAGTAAGGCTTAGGAGTCGTTTGCATTCCTGATAATCTATTACAAGGAAACGGATTATAGCATTTTAAGTGTTTGGGTATACCTAAAGAAATAATAACGAAATGAAAATAATCTATTACAAGGAAACGGATTATAGCATTTTAAGTGTTTGGGTATACCTAAAGAAATAATAACGAAATGAAAATAGATTAACCGCCATTTCCCCATATTTGTGAAAATTATTATGCGTGGGAAAGTTAAGAAATCAATTACCGAGAGTGACGGATAATTGTTTACACGCAAAACTATTGTCTTTCTCTCTCTCGTGGAGCGACCTCTCTCACCCTATTCAAAATTAGCATCTGTCTTTGTTACCGTGTCCAAGTAAGAACAATTTTTTTTTTTTTCTTCTCTCTCTCTCTCTCTATTAAAAAATAGGGTTCTTATTCTCTCTTTAAAATGACGATGATTGAGATCAATACTTTGCACTCTCTCTATCTTTGGAACAGTGATTATTAATACTTTTATTTCTCTCTCTCTATAATGGTGATGATGTTATAATTAGAAAATCTTTTTGAAATGGTGTGATGACTTTAATTTTACATTTCAATGAAATTTTGTGACAAAAAATAAGAAAAAAGGGATTGTTTATAAGCAAGTGGTGGTAAAATGTTGATAATGCATTTTTCATATTTCTTCCAGACATAGCTAAACAGTAGCAATGTAATTCCCATATTGCATCTAAGTACTACCCAACAATAACAATCCATTTGCATGTAATGTATTACACACTAATGTATTATGCCAGTAATATATTTTACAAATAATATATTTTCAGGTTTCCAAACGACCCCTTAGAGAAAGAAACTTTAGAAGATATCAAAAGAGTTGCTCAATCATCCCATTAAAAAATATTGCTTAGTACAACTTGAAAATTTAGAAAGTGCAAGTATTATATCTTAAGGTCCGATGTTCAAATTGCCATTCCCAGATAGGTTAGGTCAAAATTGTAAATGCCACTTGTATTTTTTGTTCAATATCATTTAAACGAGCACAACCTAAAAAAAGAACTCTTCAATGTCCGGTAATTAGACAAGGAGAACCATCACATTGCATGCAAGAGGAGGAGAAAACAATGAAGAGGTTGACGTCTGTGAGAAGCTCAATTCTCAAAGTAAATCACCATAATTCGGGGTACAATCGAGGGACAAAATTACACCACAAATGTGTGTTGCATACCAAACCATCATAATGGTTAGTGTATTTGTATGTGTATGCGTGTACAAGTTTGTCCCCACTCACATCAATATTTGGTAATGTCATATTGCTCATGGTAACCTTTTGATATGGTTATATACTTATGTTTTTTATTTCAGTAGTGTGAGTACCATTTCAATTCATTGTTGGGCATTTTTCCACTTACTAACTTATATGGAGATCATAATAATATTACATTCTAAAATGTACATCTATAACTTATGCATTAGATGGGTTGTAATAAAAAAATCTTATTCAGAATAGGGATTTTAACATCTAATAATGAAATGCGTAATGAACTACCAATGGAATGCGTAATGAACTACCAAGACAGTATCTCCCAATATCAAACAAACACCAGTACCATTGGTTATCAAACAAGGTTCCAAGGCTCTCTTTCAAAAAAAAAAGGTATAGGTATAGAAAAAAGTATGTTTTCTATGATTGTCACCTAATTTAAAGGTGTGATGCTCTACATCTTTCATTTTTATTGAATGGACGTATATTTTATATATCTTTTACGCACACCGTTCATTTTTATTGAATGGGTATAAATTTTACATATCTTTTAAGCTAATATTAATAGTTATTTACATATGAACATCAAAACAAATGGGAAAGGGAAAAGCTCCATTTTTTCATAAAAAGTATACGCAAGGACGGTCAACTCCCAACATTTTTTTTCTATATTGTCCGTCGATCCAATATTTCTAACATTGTACCGATCTTAAAATCCTTTTTTATTTGAAAATTTTTGGGAATATTGGACCGGCAAACCTCGTACCTATAGTTCGACACCCTATTGCCACAAGATAGTGATCCGAGGTCTTGATGATTGCACATTGGACTAGGCGGTATGAAGTTTGAAACATCATGATTACCCCCAATATAAGGCAATTAAATAAAAAGAATTTAAAACCGATCCAATGGCAACATTGAACCAAAGGCTAATCTAGGAAGAAAAACAAATTGTGGGAACATTCATGAAAAATTGAAGGATTTTGTATTATTCCTTTTGTTTTCATTCATGTTCATACCTAAATAACCCCGGTATCAACGCATATTTTAAATATTATATATTACTGGAACCTCGCTTCTAACCTCACTTTCCGATATAAGGTTGTAACCCCATATAAACTCGTAATTAGGGTGAAAGAGCATGTGGTAGTAAATAACGCATCTGGTTTCATAATATCCCTAGATTATAAAAAATACATGTATTAGTTTCTTTCTTCATGTAATAATTCATGCTATAAAATCCCCCTCTCAATACCTAAAACAAACTTTCAGCATCTACGGTCACATTTGAAAGTTCTACTATAGAGGAAATAAATAAGGAAAAAGTTTACAGAGAGCCAACGCTCTAAGCCACGTCATCAAAATTTTAGGTGGTTTTGATGTCTAAATATCTTCAAATTGAAGATCTCGACATCAAGGTGTATGGACATAAAAAAAAAAATGGATTTCAGGTTTTTTAATATACTGCATACATTTTTAAACAGTCAATTTGTCAATTTTTCAAAATTTTTGTCGTAAAATCAGCCCGAACCTCATTATTTTTTAAGCCTTAAATTTTATAATTAAAAATAAATGTATTTTAAAGCTGCCACGAAAATTTTCAATATTAAAATCACATGCACATGTCTCAAGACTATTTGAAAGTACGCTTTATTTCGATCATTTAGAACCTCAGCTCTATATACAAACGGCACCCAATAAATAATAAGGGGAAGAAAGAAGTAAAGAGGGGCAATTGCCCAAACCTGCCCAGGCTTGAGTCCCAGCCACCGGGCCACCTGGGCCGGCCTTCCACAGGCCCATTCGGAGTCCTGGGGTCCTAGCCCAAGCCTGGTTCTAGCATTGGGCATTGTGGCTTAATGAATAATCGGATCAGACCAGACCCATTCTTGACAACAGGCACCAGATACCGAGCGTGGCTCAGCTTCGGGCCAAGTTCTGTAGCCTGGGCCGCGCCTTTCCCGGCCTGGCCGTCCCAGGCTGAGAAAAGAGAGGCTAACTGATGATGCTCGCTCAATTGTAACAAATTGTAGAAGTACTCTCAAGAGTCAAATGACTGGAATGAGTAAATCTGACTTCCTTAAAAAATTGGCCCACTCACGTCCGATATTTTCGATAACCTCCCTTAGTCCTCCCCCAAAGCCGGCAACACTCCCCCACTCCTTCAAAAACCGGCGACACCACGTTATTATGTCTCCAAACCAGTGGCATTCTCATACTTGCAACCTTCTCTTCCTTCCATTTTCTCTCTCTAGAATTTCTCTCTCCTCATTTTTCAGTATCTCCCTTCGAAATTCACATTCTTAGACCAAAAAATGGAGAGATTTTACAGATACGGCCTAGAGAGAGAAACCCAATGAAGCAAAGAAAGAGATTTTAGAGAGAGGGGTCTAGTGAGAGAAAGGACTAGAGTTTCTCTCCTCAAACCAGGCCTGGCGTAAAACCTAAGAAAAGAAAGAAAATTGAACTCCCATACGTGGGGAATGAAGTAGTAGAGAGAGAAAGGAGAGGAGAGAGGAGTCTACGGTTTACATTTTAGAGAGAGAAAGAGGTCTGTCTTGAAAAGAGAGAGGTAGGGTGGTCCAAAGAAAGAGAAACAAATCAGATCTTGCTGGTTTATCTAGAGAGAATAAAATACAGACGAGAATGGCGCTTACAGAGAGAAAGTGGAGGTGTGTGTTTTTAGAGAGAGAAAGATAAGCACGCAGAGGGGGTTGAGGTGGCAGGTGACGTTGGGTGGTGGCGACGCGTAGCAAGGCGCCGCACCATGGACGAATCAAGACAAGGGGCCTGAGCCCTAACCTCCTAAAGTAACCCTATTATTATTTCTAGAGAGAGAAACTTAGAAGCACCGCTTCTTGGCTCCACCCACCGCCTTACGCATGGCCACTTTCTCTCTCTACAAGCTTTTAGTGGGTTTTCTTTGGCTCACCGGCATCGGGGCGCGATCTGTGCCATTTTGCATCCAGTGAGAAAAGCCACGAAGTAAACCAAGGGTTAGAGAGAGAAAGAGAGAGCTGAGGCAATGGCGGCTATAGCCTGAATCCGGCCAAATATTTTGCCCATTTCCGGCGAGCTTATCACCGCCTGACAAGTAGTATAACATGGTGGCTTCTTTCTAGGTTTTGGGGAGTTTGGGCTTTTGCTTTCTCTCATTCTCTCTCTAACGGGTTGCACCATTTCTCCGGTTTTCGTTGTTTTACTACCTCTTTCTCTCTCTACCTTGGCTTTTTCTGATGGTTGGGTACATCATTTCGACTGTTTTTGTTGGTTTTTGATAGCTCACGAGCTCTATCTCGGATTTTTTGTTTCCCATCTTTCATCTTGTCCTATTTGGCTTTTTCAGTCTCTCTCTTTCTGGTTTTTGATTCTTCAGGTGATCTTACCGTGTATCTTCTTCTTGATTTTGATTGTGTAGGTTAGCGATCTCTCTCTGTTGGATCACAGCAGCTATCTCTCACTAAAATTCTTAGGTTTTGGATCACAGGCCCTCTCTCTCTCTAAAATTTTCAAGGTTTGTGAATTACGGGGCACAGTCCTTGCTTCTTTGGTGGCGATGAACCATGTTTTCTCTCTTATTTTAGGGGTTTCATGGTTCTCGCTTGTGGGTGAGATTTGGCCCGAAATACCATTCTCTCCAGTTGGGAGGTTTTCCCTGAGTGACCTTTCTCTCTCTAAGATTTCTTAGGGTTTCATGTTCGGATAAACTCTAACCCTAACGGCCTTTCTCTCTCTAAAATTGCTGAATCTGGGATTTCTTTTCATGATTTTTTAGCCACCTTCATGATTTATTCGGCACTGTTTGACGGCAGTCCGGGCCCAAGGATCTTTTCTTTGGGCCGTCTTTTTCCTTGTATGGATAAACTGATTTTTTATAGAAAACCACGGTGGGGACTCTGTTTTTGTTAGTACGATAATGTTTATTACAGTAGGTACTTTCTCTCTCTAGATTTTTCTCCAGACTTTTCCGTGGATCTTCTTAGAGATATATACCTTAAGGGTTTCCCTAAGATTACAATGTAAAAAATATAAATTAACAATCTTGTATCAACTTTGATCGCCTACTAAGCTTTGAGAGAGAGCACTAAGTTCAGTGACAGAAAGCTTCAGAGTTTAGTGACAGAAAGCTCCACAATGAGCAACGGTCATCTTCAAGAGGAAGAAGGCGAAGAGAGAAGCTCGCCTGCCCCGGAAGAGGAGACACCACCACCACAAATTAAAACGGACGATATGATCGAAAAAGAGGACTTACAGGTCGATATTGTGGCGGAGAGTTACGGAGAATTTCTCCCTCTAGAAGTGGATGATCCTACCCCAGCCATCTTCTATGGTGTCTTTCCCTCTCTAGATGAGTTCCCCTGCTTCTCCGCCTCCTCTTCTCACTCTTCGAATTCATCATGCTCCTCCTCGTCTTCGAGTTCAGCCACCCCATGGTTGCAACAAAACGAGGAGAAACCAGCCACTGCAAAAGCTAGCGGTGAAAGTAGCAGTGCTTTCCTAGATCCAGTGCCTGAAGACAAAATGGAAATTCTCGCAGAATTAGAAGACATGGAGCTCTTGGATACACCGGACCTATGGGATCCACCCTCTTCTCCCTTCTTCTCTGAACCGACCACCTATAATGGTGGTTCCGGTGATTTCAGTGGTGGTTCTCAAGTTTCACCCACAAATGATGAAGACTCACCTTCGGATGAGCTTGCTAAGGTGTTCTTTGAATGGCTTAAATCGAACAAAGAATCAATTTCGCCAGAAGAGTTGAGGAGCATAAAGCTTCGTCGCTCCACCATAGAGAGTGCGGCTCGGCGACTAGGTGGTGGTCGGGAGGGCATGATGCAGCTCCTCAAGCTTATATTAGCATGGGTACAAAACCACCACTTGCAAAGGAGGAGAAACGCTGAGTCTCTCTCTCTCCAAAACCAGCCCCACCCACTTTCCCTCTCTAACCCGCCCCGCTGCAACCCTTCTCTCTCTAACCCACACCTCTCCAACCCTTCGCTCCCTAACCCATCTCCCTCCACCCCTCCTCTCTCTAACGCATGGGTGGCTTCAGCTCCAAACTATGTAGACCCATGCATGAATGCATATCCTCTCCCATCCCAACTCGGCTGCCCTGACCTAGGTTTCAGCCATGGTGGTCCTGATAATATGTTGTTGGGCGATGGGGTGTATGGTGGGAACAGATTTTCTGGTTGTCAGGTGAATTTTCAGGGGGAGCGCGGACATTTTCCGGTTGATCCTGGCCATTTCCCTGTGGATCACAGTAACTTCCCAGCGATGTGGGCGGCCCACCACTCGATCCTCGGCCTGAACCCAGGTGGCTCGTTTCTAGGGTTTTCGAACCCGGCCATGGTGCATGGTGATTGCACCATGGCTTCGGCTACGAAGGAGGCGAGGAAGAAGAGGATGGCCAGACAAAGGAGGTTTCTCTCTCATCATCACCACAGTCATGGTCACCATGGTAGGCACAATGGGGAGCATGGGAGAGGGATGCAGGTTAATGAGGAGGGTTTGGTGAGTAATGGGGGCGAGAAGAGAGGAGTGTGGTCTTCGAGCTCTGTAATGGAGGGCGGTGTATCTGATCATGTTTTGGTGCATGGTCAGGGTTTCAATAGGCATGTGGCTTCTGAGAGGCGCCAGGTTTGCTTCTCTCTCTAGGATAAGGTTTTACTTACTGTTTTTCTCTCTAGATGAAGGTTTGGCTATTACTCTCTTTAGTTGAAGGGTTGTTTTTCTCCCTCTTTGGCGAATGGTTGCTTTGCTCTTTCTCTCTCTAGATGAAGGAAGGGTTGTTTCCCTTGTTCCCTAGGGAGTGGTTGTTTTACATTCTCTTTCTCTCTCTGATTGAGAGGAATCTGCGTTTCTCTCTCTAGGAGACGGATTGTTTTGCTCCCTCTTTTCTCCCTCTCTGTAAATCATCATTTTGATGTCTCTCTTTGTGAGGGGCTGTTTTGATCTTGCTTTCAAAGGTGAATGGTTGTTTGGCTCTCTCTTTCAAGGTGAACAGTTGGTTTTCGCTTTTCTCTCTCTAGGTGAAGGGTTATTCTGTTCTCTCTTTCAGGGCTGTGTTGCTCTCTCTCTCTCTCTCTAACGCTCTCTCAGTATGAATGGTTCTCTCTCTCTAAGTTGGGTGTAATATGGCGTACAGGGGTGGAAGCCAGAGAAGAACCTGAAATTCTTGCTTCAGAAGGTGCTAAAGCAAAGCGACGTGGGCAACCTTGGCAGAATCGTCTTGCCAAAAGTAATCTCCGTTTTGTCACCTGTTGCTTCTCTCTCTCTCTCTCTCTTCTCCTTTCTCTCACGCTTAAAACCTCATATAAAACCCTTGAAACTTATTCTCTTGTGAAAACAGAAGGAAGCTGAAACCCATTTGCCTGAGCTCGAGGCAAGAGATGGCATCACCATTGTCATGGAAGATATAGGGACCTCTCGTGTTTGGAACATGCGTTACAGGTATGAATCTCTCTCTCTCTCTCAATTGTTGGATGCCTCTTTACTCTTTCCCCTTCTCTCTCTGTCTATCACATTTCTCATGTTTTTTAGAAAGCTTCTTTCTCTTGTATTTGAAATTCAAAAAACAGTTTTATGGTTCTCTCTCTCTTGTTTTCTAAATTTAAAAACTGCTTTATGGTTTTTTGTGTTTTGCACCAGATTCTGGCCCAACAACAAGAGCAGGATGTATCTGCTTGAGAACACGGGTACGCCATGCACCATCTCTCTCTCTCTCTCTAAAATTAGGCTTTTAGTGCTTGCATGCATGCTGGTGCTTTTTATTCCAAGTGTTTAATGCTTAAGAGTATGTGTGATAATGCAATGGCAGGGGACTTTGTTCGCTCTAATGGCCTACAGGAAGGGGATTTCATTGTAATTTACTCCGATACTAAGTGTGGTAAATATGTAAGATTTTCCTCTAATACTTTTTGTTTTTGTGCTTTTGGAGATAGTTCACAATACTATAGTTCATGTTTTAATTCTGGTAAATATTATGCTCTCTATGGAAGTATCTCTTTGATATTTATCTATTTTCAGTAAATGTGCGAGTTTCTCTCTCTACAACAATTCTCTCTCTACAAATCCTCTTTTGCTTGTTTTCTATTATTCTCAGTACATAAGTTTCTCTCTCTAAAACTATTGGCCTTTGATTTCACTGCTGAACTAAGTGGCCATCATATTTCTTAGCTTGCTGCTATTTCTATTGCAGTTATCTATATCTTCTCTCTCTCCTCTTTCCATCTCTCCCCATAATCAGTTCTCTCTCTCCTCTCTCTCTCTACTCTTTCCATCTCTCCCCATGAATTTCTTAGTTTATGTTGAATCTCTCCCTCTCTCTCTCTCCTCCCAATCTCATGATCTCTCTCTAGTTTCTCTGCCCTCATATACTCACCAGACTTCTCTCTCCTACATTTAGTGGCTTTTTGTTGAATCTCTCTCTATTTTTTGAGGAACAGTAACAACACACTCTCTCTCTACACAGATGATCAGAGGCGTCAAGGTTCCAAGACAAGAATCGAAGGCAGAAACCAAGATGCCTATGATCAAAGTCCAGAAGACATTGCACGCCTCCTCTATAAAGCCACCACCACCTTCCTCTTCCACTCATGGTGATGATGCCTCCTCTCTCCTCGAAGCTGTCACGTAACACTCTCTCTCTGTAACCTCTCTTCTCTCTCTATAACATACATATCCGTGTATCCAACAAAGGCATTCTCTCTCTCTCTCATCAATGATCAACCTCTCTCATAATCACCTGAATTTCAGAACTAACTTCTCTGCCTGTGTTTCAGCTCTATAACAAATTACATGTTTTCTCACCCCATTGCATCTTTCTTAACCCATTTCTCTCTCTCTAGCACAGGCTCTCTCTCCCTAGCTCATCCTGTGCATGATGTTGGGCGTTCAACTTGAAATCTTCTTCTGGATAAATAATGTATCTAGTTTTGGATATATATTATTCATCTTCTCTGAAGGGTGATGATTAGAAGGGTGAAGAAAAATGAAATGTGGGTATTTAGAAGGGTTAGAAAAGAAAAGAAAAAAAAGAAAAGGGAATTGTGTTGTTGTAAGGATCTTGAAGAGAGCCTATGTATTTTTGTATCCTCTTTTTCAAAAAAATTGTTGTTATCAATCAATTGTTAGTATTGTTATTCCTATTTTGAGTGAATTTTGAGGGGATATATGTAAGTTATGGATCTTGGAAATTGTCATTCTCGAAAAATGATCGCCGTGTTTATGGACTTTGGATCTCAAATGTTGACCAGGTGAGATGAAAGAGGTGGTTGGATTTTAGTGAGAAAGCGGGAAGAGACAAAGATGAGAGGGTAGATTAAGAATAAATGCTTGATTTGTAACTAACTTGATTCTTTAACTCTTGACCAAGAAGATCCATATGATGGGTGTCTTTTTTTTTTTTTCTTCTTCTTCCTTCAAGTAATCCGTTTTCATAGTACTATGTCTCAAGTTCCAACTTTGTCAAAAAAAAATAAAAGAATTATTTCTTAAAAATAATAATCTAGCTAGCTAGGGTTTTGAGCGGGCATCACACCAGTCATATTAGTTGTTAATGTGGGAAATGAGAGGAAAATAATTACAAAGAAAAAATAAAAGAGGTGGTCAGTCTGGAGTCGCTTATCCGTAAGCAATGGTGAGCAGTAGTGTTCAGAAAAATACAGATTCATTAGCTCGGTGACCCCGGTCATCCGAATTGTATGGTACTGTTATTTTTTAAATTTTTTGAGCGAACTACAAAATGACAAAAATAATATCAAAATTCCAAATGAGTAAATTTTGGATTAAAATTACATGGAAAGTTGCTCAACCTGAGATTTTTTATCTTTTTTAATATTGTCCTTAGGTCTAAAGGTATCATCTTTGGACTGCATTTTATTTTTAGTTTTTTTTTATAGTAGGTTTGTTCCCTAATGTTCGGGATAGTGTTGAATCGGTTTGATGTTAGCATCATCGAATCACCTACTGCTTTCTATGGTACTCTTGGAAGAGGTCTGGAGTTGGCATCCTCGGATCGCGAAGGTAACTTTTTTAGGCTCTAATTTGTCAAGAACGTCAATATTGAAATTTTTTAGGCCCTGATTTGTCAAGAATCTCAATATTGAAATTTTTTTAGGCTCTGATTTGTCAAAAATCTCAATATTGATTTTTTTAAAAAAATTTGAATATAGGCCTTGCCGCTTTTGATATATCCAAATTATAGATTATCCTGAAATGCATATTTTTATGCATGTTTGGCTGAAGCTTTGTAAATACCAGAGGGGGAGGCATGATCACGAAGGGTGGAGAATGCAGTGCAGAGGGTTTTTCAAAGGGAAATTTCAAAAGGCTATACGTTTTTCTCATTAGGATTGGGGGTTTCTTTGCTAGAAGGAAGGGCTCAAAACATGATCCAGTTGTGAAGTGATGAAATAAGGGTTAGGTTCTAACAGAGTGTATTCAGTGGGCTTGGATTGAACTGCAAATGAACATAACCATGGGTAATCCTCTCAGAGAAACCCCATGGTGGTTTTTTCTATGCCGTTGATTTGTTGGACGAGAGAAAGAGGAGAGGGTGTCTTGGATTTGAAGAAAGGTTAGGCCTAGTGAGAGAGAGAGAGAACCGTTCAAAATTTTAGCATCTCCGAAATTTCGTAGTCTTTACTGAATTTTTGGGAATTCAGATATTAGACGGTTATCTGGATATAGAAGGATACGATTTAAGCCCATCAAACATGGTGCACTAACTTTCATAATTAGAATTATATTAAATTCTATAATATCATTATTCTTATCTTAAAATATGAATGTTAACAAACATAGCCTTAATAAGCAATCAGCTGCCCATTTTGAGACCACCTTCTCTACTCTTAGATGTCCAACCTCGGATTGCCTTTTGGACTTGGAACTGCCTCTCACACTAGGGCACTGCCCTACCAAACAAAAAACTAAAAAATAAAAAAATGTTGTATTTTTTTTATTTTTTATTTTAATGTCTGTACATGAATTACTCTATTTTTTATTATTTTTTGGGTAATTCAATGAAGGGAATGTGCCCCTACCCGTTTTTGAAATCGTTAGTGGTTTGTTAGGGGAAAATGGAAGCCCTTGGCTGGCCGGATGTGGTGCTACCACCACAACCCCAAGCCCTAAATTACTCTTACCTTTTTAGGGGTCTGGATCATTTGATACACAATTGAATCGATCTGGATCGATACATTAGATGGGCAACCGAAACCCCGATTTTCAGGTTTCAAAACCCTTTTTTGTGAATATCCTACTGATGGAGATAGGACTCATGGATACGATGATGCGAATGTCCATGTTTTTTCTTTGAAAAAGACCATTCCATAGGACTCATGGATACAATGATGCGAATGTCCATGTTTTTGCTTTGAAAAGACCATTCCATATGTTAAATATTATTGAAATATGTATTGTTTTAAGAGAGCATTAGATTTTTAGTTCCACTGGGAGAAAAGGTATCCTTAAATAGGATAAAGACGCGGTTAGCATGCGGCCAAGTTCGCACACTTATAAATGCAGTTTTGGCAATAAATATATTTTTTAAATATAATATGATCTTAATTTTTAGAGAATATATAATCTAGATTATGAATATAAATAAATAAATAACATGTATAAATGTAGCTTTGGCAATAAATATATTTTTTAAATATAATATGATCTTAATTTTTAGAGAATATATAATCTTTAACATGGAGATCATGAATATAAATAAATTTTAAAAACTTGAAATAATAATTATATTAAAAAAAATATTTGGACCTTTAGTTACAATTGATTTTTAGATAGACCACCTATTTGTATCTATCTTTTAAGATGGATGAAGATGAATGTTTTATATTTCATCATTATCATAATTTTAGTTTTTTTTCAATTAATTGAGGTCGGTTTTATGAATCATGATTCTCTTTCCATTCAGGATGTTTTATACCTATGGACTGGATATTCTACAAACCAGCCCGCATGAAACAATTGTTCATTTGATAATACCCTACTTACAAGGAAAGGATTCATGGATAGGAGTGTTCGTGTTTTTGCTTTGGAAAGGATTCATTGATAGGAGGGTTTGTATTTTTGCTTTGGGAAAGTACTGGGTGTTATTTCAAAATACCATTTTGAAAATTATAATATTTGAAAATGTATTATTTGTTAGTGTGAATTTTAGTTCCATAGTGAGAAGCATAGAAAGCTCCCCCTTAAAAATATAAGACACAAGCCTCTGAAACTTTGAAGTTGAAAAATTTTACATCCAAAACCCCATCAAACTGCATCTCTCTGATCCACTTTTTAGCTGATAAAGACTCATCCTCTAATCCTAGCTGGTGCTCAGATTTTAACAAGGCATAACCCCTGGTATATTAGAGGTGTAGCAGAGTATAACAAACATGATGCTTTACATTGCAGAGAGATTTTACATTGGTTTGAAGAAATCCTTCTACTGATCTTTACAAGAACTAGCCACAAAATTGAAACCATGTAGAATTATTAGAGAGAAATGCAAACTCTCATAGAGATTGAAGTCCCCTTAAACAATTTCAAGGGTAGGGGCCCACTAGGTCTCCAGCTACCCGGGTTTCCGGATCATTTCACTTTTGAGTAAATCATAACAATCCAAAACATTGGGTGGTGAAGAGGGCCGCAGCCCTGGTTATTTGGATAGGGTTGTGGCCTGAATACCATTTGGGTTCGGGACTGGTTGGACATGAACCAACAATACTTTTTTTTTTTTGGTGTTTTTAAGAGTTCTTGTTTGATAACAAGAATTGCAGCTTACAGGGAATTTGGGGCTTCCGGAAAAATAAAAGGCTCACAGTCCTGAAAACTCGAAAGTTTTGTAATGGTCGAGATTTCCCCAGTTGGGAAATCCACATATTTGAACTGCTCATTGCCTAGTTCATTGATTCTATGTTGAAATTTTTCTATCAAAATCCACACATTTTCTCTCTTATAGTCATTCAAAATTCTAAACAAATGCATATCTTTGGGAACAAATCTAGGAGAATTTTCACTTATATGGACTAAACTGTTCTTGTGCTTCAGCCCGAATATCCCCCAAACTCATGATTTGAGACTGTTTTTAAGAAAATGAACATTGAAAAGACGAATGAAAATTAAAAAAGGGTAACTCCTCTCCATTGCATTCCAATATGGGAAAGGTCCTAGGTTTTTCGTGTCCATTAATCAATATAAATATACAAGCTTATCTTAAATGGATAAATACAAATGATAAGAATACAGATAATGACGTTTATACTATACCTTTTTACTATAAATACAAGATATTGTACCTACCATTCCCATATAATGATTATAATATACGCCTTTCATATTAATCCGGTAGACAATATATATTTTCCTTTCACAATCAAATAAAGAAAAAGTTTATGTAAAGTGTCAACCTTATACTATAGAGTGTAGTGCACCTCAAAATTCATGAAAATATTGTTTCAATATCTAAAAACCTTCTAATTCATCTTTTCACTTCAAGATATATGGATATGAAAAAAAAAAGGTAGACCAACTTGATGTCCTAAAATGAGTACATCTGGTAGTATATATTATCTAAACGGTCTATTTTTAAGATTTTAAAGTGTTTAAAATTTCCAATAGCGAAATTACATCTTCAGCATAATTTAAAAGTTTTACTTTTATAGTTTAAAATAGATGCCTTATATAAACCTCACCCATCCCATAATGAGTAAGGACCGATCATTCAAAGCCCTTTCGATGTTTCCACTCTTTGAGTACAAATCCAACAAGGTATTATTCGATATTTCATATGTGAAAGTGTGAAGACACAATCCCATGAATCTGCATACCTTGGTTCAATCCTCAAGCTCACCGAAACTCGAAAACCTGGTCCAATCCTCAAGGCATGACTAAAACTAAGGTTTGCGACAAAAATAATTGGGTTGGGCTAGAGTCTACTTCGATTCATCTGAATGAACATTTTAGAAGCTTATATAAACCTCAGCCGTGAAACTTTGAAAATAATATTTATGTATTTTGGAAAAGAAAATTTCTAAATCGATCCTTGTCATGGTTGAGATCATCGAACTCTAAAATTTGGATAAAAAAGACTAGTGCTATCAAATTCGCTTCGCTTCGGCCGAAGAGGTCGAAGCCTTCGGATTTTAAGCTTAAATTGAAGCGAAGAGAAGCATGGTGCCACCGCTTCTGTCAAATTCAGGCCGCTTTGGGTTTGCTTTCTCAGAAAATAAATACCTATATAAAAGTATTTTTTAAAAAAATTATTTATTTTTAAAATTATTTATTTTTAATTTTTAATTTTTTCATTATTT